GATGAGTTGAATTAGTTTTTCTGTGGAGTTTTTGGGGTTCTCTATGTAAATTATCATATCATCTGCAAATAGTGATAGTTTGACTTCTTCTTTTCCTATTTGGATTCCTTGGATGTCTTTCTCTTGTCTTATTGCTCTGGCTAGGACTTCCAGTATTATATTGAAAAGCAGTGGTGAGAGTGGACATCCTTGTCTTGTTCCAGATCTTAATGGAATTGCTTTCAGCTTTTCACCATTGAGAATGATACTGGCTGTTGGCTTGTCATAGATGGCCTTTATGATGTTGAGGTATGTTCCTTGTATCCCAAGAATTTCAAGGGCTTTTATCATGAATGGGTGTTGCACTTTGTCGAAAGCTTTCTCAGCATCTATTGATATTATCATATGGTTTTATATTTCTTTTTGTTGATGTGTTGGATAACGTTGATTGATTTTCGGATGTTAAACCATCCTTGTGTCCCTGGAATGAATCCTACTTGGTCGTGGTGAATTATCTTATGGATACATTGTTGGATTCTGATAGCTAAACTTTTGTTGAGGATTTTTGCATCAGTGTTCATGAGGGAGATTGGCCTGTAGTTTTCCTTTTTGTGTTGTCCTTATTCGGTTTTGGTATTAGTGTAATGTTGGCTTCATAGAACGTGTTTGGTATTGTCTCTTCCTTCTCAATTTTTGGAAGAGTTTGTGAAGGATAGGCATTATTTCGTCTCTGAATGTTTGGTAGAATTCATTTGTAAATCCATCAGGTCCTGGGCTTTTGTTTTTGGGGAGGTTTTTGATTACCATTTCAATTTCGCTGCTTGTAATTGTCTGTTTAGGTGTTCTATTTCTTCTTTATCTAGCTTTGGGTGATTGTAGAGTTGTAGGAATTTGTCCATCTCCTCTGGATTGTTGAACTTGTTTCCATATAACTATTCATAGTAGTTAGTGATTATTCTTTTCATTTCTGCTGTGTCCGTTGTGATTTCTCCTCTTTCATTTACTATCCTGTTTATTTGTGCTTTCTCCCTTTTTTCCTTTGTGAGCCTGGCTAGGGGTTTGTCTATTTTATTGATATTTTCGAAGAACCAGCTCTTGGTTTCATTAATCCTTTGGATTGTTTTTTTAGTTTCAATTTCATTTATTTCTGCTTTGTTTTTTATTATTTCTTTTCTTCTACTGGTTTTGGGTTTTTTTTGTTCTTCTTTTTCTAGATCTTTGAGCTTCGAGATTAGGTTGTTTCTTTGAGTTCTTTCTTGTTTCTTGATGTGAGCTTCTATTGCTATATATTTCCTCTTATTATGCTTTTGCTGCGTCCCATACATTTAGGATATTGATGTCCTCCTTGTCATTCAATTCAAAGAATTTTTTAATTTCCTCTTTGATCTCCTCATTAGTCCACTGGTCTTCCAGTAGTGTGGTTTTTAGTCTCCATGAGGTAGGAAAGTTCCTTGCCTTCTTTTTATGGTTTATTTCTAGCTTGATGCCTTCATGGTCAGAAAAGATGGTTGGTATGATTTCAGTCTTGGTGTATCTGTTGATGTTTGTCTTGTGCCCCAGTATGTGATCGATCCTGGAGAATGATCCGTGTGCGCTTGAGAAAAATGTGTACTCCGTTTTTTGGGGGTTTAGTGTTCTATAGATTTCTGTTAAGCCCAAATGCTCTAGGTCCTTATTTAGAGCTTTAGTTTCTTTACTTATTTTTTGTCTTGTTGATCTATCCATTGTTGATAGTGGTGTGTTGAAGTCTCCCACTACATATGTGTTTTCTCTGATGTCTGTTTTCAGAGATGACAACAGTTGTCTGATATATTTTGGTGCTCCTTCGTTTGGTGAGTATATGTTAATGAGTGTTATTTCTTCTTGAAGTATTGTCCCCTTGATCATAATGTAGTGACCATTGGGGTCTCTTTTTATATTTTTGAGTTTGAAATCTGTTTTATCTGATATAAGTATAGCTGCTCCTGCTTTCTTTTTTGGTCCATTTGCTTGTAGGATTGTTTTCCATCCTTTAACTTTGAGCCTATTTTTATCTTTTGTAGCTAAATGTGTTTCCTGGAGACAGCAAAAGGTTGGGTTTTGTTTCTTAATCCAGGCTGCAACTCTGTGTCTTTTTATTGAAGAGTTTAGTCCATTTACATTTAGGGTTAATATTGATATGTTAGTATCTGTATTTGCCATTGTGTTTGTCTTTCCTTTGATTTTATTTATTCTTTTAAGAACTTTTTTTTTTTCTTGCCTTCTTTCATTGTTATTCGTCCCTCTGAGGTTCTGGCTTTAGGACTCCTTGTAGTATTTTTTGGAGTGGGGGTTTAGTCGTAATGAAATTCCAGAGTTTCTGTTTGTCTGGGAAGGTCCTTATTCTTTCTTCATAGAGGAAGGAGAGCTTTGCGGGATAGAGTATTCTTGGTTGACATCTGTTTTCTTGGAGTCTGTTGACTATGTCCCTCCACTCTCTTCTTGCCCGTAGTGTTTCTTCAGAGAAGTCTGATGTCAGCCTGATTGGTTTTCCTTTGAATGTTATCTGTTCCTTCCCTCTTGTCAGCTTCATTATTTTTTCCTTGTCCTGGATTCTTGGGAGCTTCACTATTATGTGTCTTGCTGTATTTTTCCTTTCGTCGTGGAAGTTTGGTGTTCTTCTTGCTTCTTGTATATCAATTTTCAGCTCCTTCTTCACATTTGGGAAGTTCTCTTCAATTATCTCCTTGAATATTTTCTCTGTTCCTACATCTCTCTCCTCTCCTTCT